GTGTTGGGGGGGGGGTGTTTTGCACGCCAGGGTTTGGCGCCGGCTCGGGACCGAAGCCAAGTTCTTACAAGAAAGCAGATTTCTCCCGAGCCCCGACCGCAGCGCTGCCGGCCCACGCTGCCCTCCCCGCTCGGGGAGAGGCCTCCGGTGGGGACCCAGGCATCCAGGCTGCCCCCCAACCCCCAGCCCAGCCCGGCACGGGGGTCCTGGGGACCGTGTGGTGCTCTGCCCCCCCGCCCTACACGCTCCCTCCCGCAGCCCTGATGAGGAGTGATGGGCGCTACGTGCTCAATGGGGACTGGGCCATCGCCTGGCCGGGGCCCTACGAGGTGGCGGGCACCCGCCTGCAATACACCCGGGCCCCCGATGGCACCGAGACCCTGGAGGCTCCCGGCCCCACGGATGAGGATCTGCACCTCATGGTGAGGTTGGGGGCGGTGAGGGGATGGGGGGAGCCGGCCCCCCCGGCCCCAATGGCTCCCCTTAGCTCTGCCCCGCTGCCCACGCAGGTCCTGCTGCAGGAGCCCAACCCCGGCATCGAGTACGAGTTCTGGTTGCCCCGTGGGCACCCCCAGCTCGGCCGTGGGGATGCCAGCCCCCTGCGGCAGCCCCAGCCCCGGGGGGCCGGCAGCCCCCCACCCCAGGAGCTCCCAGTCACTCCGGTTCCTGCACCACCGTCCCAGCGCAGGGGCTCTGCCATGGAGCCCCCACCGAGGAGCCCCCCCGGCCGGAGCGGGGCTGGGGCTGCTGCAGGTGCCTGCTCCCCTGTGGGGTTTGCATGTGTCCCCCCCAGCTCCCTGCTGTGGGGAGGGGACCCCCGGGGCTTCTGTCCCCCCCCCGGCTCCCTGCTGTGGGGAGGGGACCCCCAGGGCTTCTCCATTAGATGGGGACCTTAAAACAGCTCCCCCTGACTTAACCACCCCCTGGACCCTAAGGAGCCTGGTGTGTCCCCTCTCTCCTTTTGGGATATAGACCCCCAGTGCCCTCTCCCACTGCTGCGGGAGGGGGTTTTGGGGGTGCTGTGTCCCCTCTGCCCCCCCTGAGCTGCTGCAGCTTTGTCCCCACAGGGCGATGCGGGAGGTGCCGCCCGGCCAAGGGACGCTCCCAGCGCATCCGGCACTTCTGCCAGAGCGACTTCGGTGAGCAGGGGGAAGGGGAAGGGGCTCGGGGCGATGCCGGGGGAACGTGCCCACCTCAGGGTGCCCCCCCGTTCGCCCCACAGTCTTCCGGGGCCGGATCCTGGCACGGCGTTTGGTGGGGCAGGAGACGCGCTACGAGGTGGAGGTGAAGACGCCCTACCGGCACCGCTTCCCGCTGGTGGCCAGGGAGTACCTGTGGGTGGCCAACACCTGCGGGTGCCCCCCGCTGCGGGAGGGCGAGGAGTACCTGCTCATGGCCCACAGACACGTCAACTACGAGCGCACGCTCAACCGCATCCTGCTGCAGGACGACGGCTACGCCCGGCCATGGACGCCCCGCGAGGAGCGGCTGGTGCGGGAGGCAGCCCGGCATTGCCCCCAGACCCGGCCACCCTGAGCCCCCCCATCCCCGGCTCCATCGCCTGGGGAGGGGGCGGCCGGTGGGACGTGGGGGCTGGAGACTCTCCTGCCGTGCACCAAACCCCCCGGTCGTGGAGGGGCCAGGGTCCCTGGGGACCCCCCGTCCTGCCCCTCCACCCCGTGCCGGGCATCTCGCCGTCCTTGGGGTCGACTTGGCTGTTGGGGGGTGGGGGGTGGAGGGTGGTAATTTATTTTTTTGCAGAAAATAAACCCATTTATCACCTCACACGCCATGGGGCCCTTCTTGGTTGGGGCCAGCTCAGGGGGTCCCCTGCCTTCCCCACCCCAGGGTCCCCTCCCGCGTCCCCAAGCTGAGCCCCCAGAGCGATGCGCCCTCCCGGCAGCGTGTCCCCGTCCCCGGGATGGACACCCGCCAGCTCTGCATTTCGGGGTCGGGGACCCGCCGCTTATCTCTCTTCCGGCGGAGGCGAGCGGGTCCCTCCCGGAGCCGGAGCCCCCTTGCCCGTAACCCAAGCCGCGGGCTGGCAGGCACAGCCGTGGGGCCCCCCCTGGGGATGGGGACATGCCTGGGGGTGCCGTGGGGATGGCCACCCCGGGAACACTGTGCTGGGCACCCCCGGGGTGCATCACCCACTCTGGGGTGGTCCCACACCCATCTGGGGGTGGGTTTGGAGCCGGTGCTGGGGAAGGGCTGAGCTCTCCCAGCTCGTGTCACTGGTGTCTGTTCCCAAACTGGGCACGGGACTGGGGCTGCAGATGGGGGGTTCCCATGGTGGGTGCCCCCCGGGATCCCCCAAGTGGCAGCTGGAGCCCAGAAGGGTCTTTAACACGTCGGGTAATTAATCAGCAGGAGCCAGAGATGAGCAGCTGGGGCTCTGTACTGGGCTCCCCAGCTGGTCCCAGTAAAGCTCAGGTGATACTGGGTGCTCTGGAGCATGGGGAGGAGGCACTTTGGGTTGATTAGGGCTGGAGAGGTGTCTCCACCCTATAAAAGTGCCCCCTCCTGCCCCTATAGACTGTTTGGGGGTGTCATCCCTGGGCAGGGTGGGGGTGTCCTGCTGCTGTGCCTGTGGGTCCCTGGGGTGGGGGCTCTAGGAGCTTTTTTTGGAGCGAGTGATGCCCGGCAGCCCCGGGGCTGGGGCTCTGCGCTGTCACCTCTGGGTGTCCTGTGCTTGGGGTGTCCCCCTCGGGCTGTCCCAGCCATGGCGGGTTTGGGGACAGTCACCCCACGAGCGAAGAGACCCCGCAGGGAGGACACCAAGGACCTGGGGCTCTCAGCCACCAAGGCCGGGGCTCGCCGGCGGGCCAGGAGCCGGCAGAGGGAGGGGGGCCGGGGGGAGCACTGCCCACCCCAGGGCTGGGACCCCTGGGAGTGTGTCCCATGTCCCCCCCTGGTCCCTGTCACCCCTGGGAAGGGCCGGGTGATGAAGCTGCGGCTCGAAGGAGAGCGTCGCCGACTGCGGTCTGCTCCCCCCTGCCCCGGGGAAAGGGGTGAGTGTGTCCCCCCCCAGGGTAATCCCTGCCTGGGGACAGGGGGGGCTGCCCCACACTGTGCTGACGGGACCCCTCTGACCCACAGAGCCTGCCAGCCCCCCGCTGCAGCCCTGCTATAAGGGTGCCTACTTTTCGGGGCTCCCCACGGATGAGTGCCAGGACCCCGCTGCCCCTAGCCTGTGAGTATGTGGGGGGGTGTCCCTGTGCCCCCCAGACCCACAGCATCCATCCCACGACCCTCTGCCTTCCTCTGGCCAGGCTGGTGCCAGCACCCGGCAGGGATGGTCCCCGGAAGACCCGCAGCACCCCGGAGCGCACCCTGGTCCTGGAGCTGGTGAGCTGGGGGGGCTGGGAGGGGGCTGCGGTGCTGGGGCCGGGGTCTGACTCCCCTCCCTGTCTGCAGGAGGGGACGCTGGTCTGCTCCTCCGTGCTGGCCAGCTGGCAGCAGGGCGCCGTGGCCACCTTCACCACCGTCTTCCAGGGAGACACCTACGAGGTGGGTGCCTCGTGGGGACAGTGGGGTGTTGGGTCCCCGGGGTGGGCACGGAGGGCTGTGACCAGCCGTGGTGTGGCCTCTGTGCCCTTCCCTTGTAGCCCAAGAGGAAGTGGGGGCCCAGGGGCTGAAATCCCAGGGGAGGGGGTGGCTGAGGAGGCCCCCAGGGTCCTGCTGGGGGTGCTGGTCACCCTGTTGGCGGGCACCTTGGTGTCAGAACATGAATGCTGGTGGTTTTTGAGGTTGCCTGATGGTGCTGGTCCCTTCTAGGTCCATGTGAAGCTGCGTCCCCACGTGCAGCAGTTCCTGGAGAACCTTTCCAAGACCTACGAGGTATCCGGAGCTCCTGCATTTCCCTGGGGTCTGTGGGGGGGACACCCCATCGGGGTGGGGGGCACTCGGGCAGCCTCTATAGGGACCGTCACCTGCTCCCCCAGATCTGCATCTTCACAACCGCGAAGCAGGACTATGCCAAGAAGGTCCTGGATGTGCTGGACCCCAAGAAGAAGCTGATCAGGTGATGGCCCTTGGTGAAACCCCACTGGGGACACCCCGTGTGGGGCAGGGACCGGTCCCCACGGGCTCTGTCTCTCCCCCCCCAGGCTCTGCTTCTCCCAGCAGGATTGTCTCTGTGCCCGGGGCTGCTACTGGAAGGACCTGACCCGCCTGGGCAGGGACCTGGCCAAGACGGTGGCCCTGGACCACACCATCCAGGGCTTCCCTGCCCAGGTACCAGCCACACTGGCTCTCATGGTGGGGGGGCAGGTTTGTGTGCCCCGGGAGCACCCTGGCTGTGGTGGCTCCTCCGTGGCCAGCGTTCACCCTCTCTCCCCAGGCTGCCAACTGGATCCCGGTGCCGAGGTGGTGGGGAGACCCTCGGGATGAGGAGCTGCTGCGTCTCACCCCGCTGCTGGGACGGCTGGGACAGGCGGTGAGGACCAAAGGGGGGGGGCTGGGGATGGGGAGGAGACCCGTGCCCCCAGACTCCTCTCCACACAGAGCCCCCCTGTCCCTTCTCTCCCTGTGCAGGACGACGTGCGCACCGAGATCCAGCGGCAGTTCCCGCACCGCAGGCTGCCTGCCGAGGACTAGGACGGGGCAGGGGGCAGCAGGAGGGAGAACCCCCCCCAGGTTCTCCCCACTGTGCTCAGAGGGGTCTGTGGGGCTCGTCCCATGGCGTGGGAGAAGCCAAGCTCCAGCTCTTCCAGGCTCTAACTCGTCCCGTGGCACTGGGCTGGCCGGTTTTTTGGCAAAGCCGTTGTCCCCGGGTCCCTCCCTTGGTGTCCGCAGCCACACTCTGCTCACCCCCCCGGGTGGGCTGCGAGCCATGGATTTCCCCCCCTCCCAGGGCTGGGGGGGTCCCTCTGGGGGACTTTGCTCTCAGCTGCCACTTGAGGAAAAGCTCCGTCCCGGCTCCCTCCTGCCCGTGCTCCGGAAAGTCCGGCCAAGGGCTTTATTCCCGGGTGATTAAACGCTCGGACAAAGGTCTCGCTGTGGGTCTGTGACTCCTGGGCTGCGCAAACACGCTGTGTTTGGGGGGGGGGACATGGGGACACGACACAAAGTGCCCCCCACCCTGTCATGCCAGAGCCCGGTGCGGTGCCGGTGCCCCCCCAGCAGGGCCCCAGCTTGGCAGCTCTCCCCGTGCCCGTCCCGGCCCTGCCTGGTGCCGCGCTGCGTGCCGGGGCACAGCTGCCCGGTGCTGCTGCCAGCCCCCCCGGCACGGCGTTTGTACCCACTGCGTGGGGCAGAGCAGGGCGGTTGTGGGGTGCAAAATCCTCTGGGACACCCCTTCCCTCCCCCTTTTTTATTTTTTTTTAAGGCTGGTGGTAAACAAGAGCCGTGGGGTCACACCGTGGGGGTCCGGGCTGCCCTCCCCGAGCCGTGGGTTGGCGTTTGGCCACCTCTCCCGTGCCAGGAGCTGCGTGGACTCGTGGCTGGGCTCGTGCTGGAGGAATTGGCTGTGGTCACTGTGTGCAGCTGTGTGGAGAGAAGTCACATCTCCTCCTCCTCCTCCTCTTCATGGCCCTCCACCCCCGGGAAAGGACACAGGGCTCCCAGCCCTTCTGGAAATAGCTCTCACGCAGCAGCGTGACGGGCTGGGTCCCCTGGGGATGTGGGGGGACAGGCTGGGTGGGAAGGGAAGCCACCAGCCGTGTCCCTGGCCATGCACAGAGCTGGACGTGGGGTGGGATCAGCCCCAGCACCCCTGGGGAGGGACGTCACCCTTTGGAGAGCGTGGTCTGGAAAGGCAACAAGCAATTTATTTTGGAAGCCGGGTGAGGGCAGCTTCATCCCAGGCTGGGATGGTGCTGCCTGTCCCTCTCTGCAGCCCAGGCTGGTGTCACGCTGTCTTTCCTGCCTGGGGACAGCAGGAGTTACCCTTCACCATGCAAAAGGCCACATAGTAGGTGGCACAGAAGGTGGCTGAGATGACCAGGGTCCCACAGATGAGGAGGAGGAGGAGAAGGTGCCTCTGCAGCCTCTCCTTGTGGGGGGAGCCCTGCAGGGGGGAGCAGGAGCTGGTGAGCTTATCGAGGGTGTCAGGGGGGTGACAGGCCGTGCAGTTGGTGGCCGAAGCGCCCTGGCATGTGTAGCAGGAGGGGTGGCAGCTGGCACAGACACGGGCTGCGTTCCTGGTGGAGGTGGTGGCTCCCTGGGTCCGGCTGTAGAAGCGTGGAGGGCAGTAGGACAGGCAGGAGCGCTGGTGGGCGTACAGGGAGCCACCACACTCTGCAGAAGGACAGTGACATGAGCCGGGCTGTGGGGACATCTGGGGACAAGAGCACTGTCCCCTCTTGCCCCAGGACTCACCCTGGCATGTTCCCTGCGCGTCCCGCCTGACGCACTTGTCCACGGCGGGGACTGCGAGGTGCCGGGCCCTCATGTCCTCAACCGTGCCGTGGAGGTGGAGGGAGACACTGGTCAGCAGACATGGGGGGCAGGAGGGAGTGGGCACCGTG